GCCATAAACAGCTGACTCTTTCCCCAGGTGCTGAGATGGGTGAGGTTGGAGCCTGGGGATGGTTCTGTTGGATGCACCAGAGGAGGATGGTGGTGGTGCCAGGTTTTTTCGATTTGGTTTATTGTGTTTTGTTTTTTATTGCTGTTGTGAGCTGCCCAGAGTTATGTTTTCTAAAATGGGTAGCCCTATAAATATTCTAAATAAATAAATCAGCACATATCTGTACAGATGCAATATATTATTTCTGAACAAAATACATATTCCTCCTATGGCTACTTCTGGTAGAAGGGAAAAACTGTGCTTTTTTTGCTACCTTGTTTAGTGTGAGTGCATGTGTAGTTCAATAAGCCCTAGCAAAATTTAATATAGATATAGATATAGGTATAGATATATTCTCATTCTGAGACATTGAATGAAGTAAGCAGGCTAGCTATCTGACAACCTTTCCAATAACGTGTGTTAAGAGACAGCCAGATTGTGGCTATCTGAAAATCCAGTTGCAGTTCCCAAATCATAAACATGGTTTGTAGCTCCCAGTATTGTTTTTGAAATGTTAAATTAAACAGTGCTTGCTTTCTGCAGTTATTTGGACTGCAGGTGTTGCTGAGGGTAAAGACAAAGGCATTAAAGAAAGAGTAGTAAATGAAAAGGAGTGTATAACTTACAGGGGAAGAACTTCCTGAAAAAGAACAAAAGGGGAGAAGACAAATGCTATTGCTTAAAATGTTGTGTAGTATAAAATGGCACCGGCCTACCAGCAAGGAGGCCATTGATAGGCTGCTGGCCAGGACATCCTGGCCCAGCCCTTGCCTTTCGGCCCTACCCCTCGCCCTGGGAGCTTGGCTGAGGTTTGGGCCTGGTGACCTGCCACCTGCTTGTCCATTCTTAACTTGAGGGCTGTACAAAAACAGGCAGTGGGTTGGATTTGGCCCATGGGCTGTAGTTTGCTGACCCCTGGTATAAACCATAGATCTGGCTAGCTACTAAAGGTTGGTGAAGTGGAGGAGAAGCAGATTCAGCAAAAAGGCATGAACACTCCATGACTGTGAGAAAGAAAGCAACTACCAGTCCTGGAGAAGAATCAGTCTGTGCTGCAGTTCTTATCTTCAGTAGATTAATGTACCTTCTCCAAGCACTAATCTATACTTCTTCAAGTATTTATTAATAGGACTTAGATGAAACTCACATTACATTGTAAGTCACAGTACTGTAGGAGTCAGATTGTTCTGAAGGATTGACAAACTTCCTTTCACCACTGAATGGATTACCTGTGAATTGGAATCATCTGCCTTAATGAAACCTGTTCATTCCTACCCAAGGGAACCAAATATATACAAACTTATCAAATAGGTATTTTTGTGTTTCCTTGCTCTCCTCTAATGAGGATGGAATAGCTTATCTGATTTTGGTTCAATATCTCTGGCTGAAATTGATAAAAATCTGTTAGTTATTCCCTTTTACTTTGTACTACTGTATTTTAATGTGCTGGTATCTTTATCATTCAGAGACAAAGTAGCTATCAAATAGCAACATAAAATGGGCTTGAACTGTTTAAGTTGATGTAGCAGGTAAGATAAAGGTCAAATGGGAAAAAGTAGAAAATAAACGTGTATTTTTGTGAAGAAAGGGCTATAGCTTGGTATTAGACCAATTAGACATCTAGTTTCCAGGTTCAGTCTTGGGCATCTGCAAACAGAGCTACAAAATAATCTTTATTACTGTTGATTACAGTGAGCTGGATAGATAGATGAGTGTAACATAGGCAGTTTATTATGTTTTTAAAGATTTTAGGTATATCTTAATTAAAATGGAATTTGAGTTCCCAGATGGGGGAAATTGCTTTTTGGCATTCTACTTAAATCATGAAAACAGATTCTGGCAAAAATAAAACCCTCTGATGGAGTAAGTGTACAAAATAGCTTGCTTTTATTTGTAATTGTTTTTATGTATTTATTCTTTTTAATTGTTGTACACTGCCCAGAGTCACCTTGTGAGATGGGTGGCTATATAAATATGATAAATAAATAAAATAAATAAAAAGGAATTAAGAAATTATGAAGCACTGGTAGATGAGAATTTCTGGGAGAACAGGATTCCGTTTTGGAGAAAATAAATCTTTAGTTAAGCGTGGGTTATCTGCTAGGTGTGTGGGAAAGCACTATCTCTAAACAGACTTATAGAATATTGTGAGGAAGAAATGCTGTCATCACTTCAATGTAGCAAGGGTTTAATTAGTTGAAAGGAAAAGTATTCTAGTGATGCTCAGGAGCTAGTACAAGTTATCACAGGTTATCAATTCCAAACAATATTGATTGATTGTTGTTACCATATCTTTTTGCCTTAAAACAATGCAATGCATATTGCTCATTTGTAACTGGGTGTTGCTCAGTTGTAACTGGCATATATTTTTTCTTCTAAATATAGGAATCACTACATGCCTGGTAAGATGGCTAAGGTGAAACCTGAAATAAAAATAGTTGTATTAACTATCCAGATCAGCCTTTCCAACCTGGCATCGTCCAATTGAATTGGATTAGTACAACTCTAAGCCATCATGGAGATGGCTGGAATGAGAAAGGCTGATAAGTTGAGAAGTTTGGTATCTGCAGCTTCTTCCTCATTCATTCATTCATTCATTCATACGCTACCCATCTCACTATATAAGTGACTCTAGGTGACTTACAAAAAAAACACTATAAAAACTTTACAAAAATATACAAAGCTAAAAAAGCTAAAAAGTAGGAGAGAGCATCCTTAAGCTACCAACCACCCCCAGTGCTGCGAACCCCCAGTGGGTCCTCATGCAAGTTGGCAGAACCAGGCCCATAAAGAGGGGGCTAATCTCACCACAGGTGGCAAGATGTTCCAGAGGGTGGGAACAATGGCAGAAAAGGCTTTCCTCCTAGACTTTTTGTTGAATCAATTACTTGTTTGTAATTATAATACACTATAACATGTGTGTGGTAGTTTCAGTGGCTCCAGTGCAGCAGGGACAAGATCTTTGACACATAAGGATTTTAGTAAATTTCTTATTAAGCACAAGAGGGGAGCACATCAAGCCTAGCTCTGAAAAAGAATCTTAGTTGGGAAGGAGAAATTAGGGTTGTTAGGTGCCTGCCTGATTCCCATCTGAGTATGTAGTGCAATTTCTGATGTGCACTAAAATGTGGCTGAACTTGTTCTAGTATTCTCTAATGGTTCTTTTAGCATGCACATGCGATTCATATGGAAATAAAAAAATACAGGTCCCTTCCAGTTGAGCTTAACACCTAGTAGTTTTGAAGTAGTTTTCCACTGTCTTCTTCCAAAATTTATTTCACCTTCTCAGTCTGGCCTATAGCCCTGCTTTTCCTGGTGGTCTCCTACTCAAGTACTTATATATAATCCTGCTTATCTTTTTTGTATCCAGCCAATAACAACTACGTAGGTTGAAGTACTGTGCCTCAGTCATGTACAGTGGTACCTCTAGTTACGAACGCCCCTACTTACGAATTTTTCAAGATACGACCAGCTCTGGCCCCAAAAATTTACCTCTATTTACGAAATTGCCTCTACTTACGAACG